TGTCACAGACACCAGTGGACAGGATGGGTAGCGTTCTTATTCAAGTCTATGTTTGCTTACAGTAATGCTGTTTTCCATCTGGCAACCTTTTGGCTACTAAAATTTTAGATTTTGTTAATAAATAGTTTAAAGAACTAAAGTCAGTCAGTGGAACTGTACTGTGGCTGTCAGTAATTATATGTGTTTTAGCCACTAAGGAGAGGTGTGTGATTTAATAAGAGAGGATGATAAATCACTCAACAGACCTCTAAAAAATGTGTCCCCTCTCTTCTGAGATGATGGTTACACCCTTGAATGAAGGCACCAGCAAAATATCTGGTTTTCTCCTGGTTTTGTTAAACTGTCTGCACAGAGGCTGCCTGTCACTGTGAACATGAGTTGAGACCTCCTCCTCATTGGTCAGTCAGCATGAGGTGGGTCAGGTGACTGAGAAGGTTGTGTAATGTCAAATGTTGCTTTTGTGTAAATGGAGGACACTTCCCTCGATCTCAATGTAATGGTTCATGTTTACCAGATTATACTGATGTGTTTTGTTTTTATGGCATCATGTGAAGGAGTGTCCTTGACAAGATGACAGTGTATTTGTAGTTCCATGAGCATTTGTACATCAAAATACACTTAGAATTTGAAGTATTGAGTATATTTACTATACAGTATATTGCAATAATTTACTCTGTATTTTGCCAGTCTGGTAATCCTGGGGTCGTGATGATGGGGCCCTTGAATATTGTTGCCCAGGGTACAGCGAAGTGTTAATCCGGCCCTGATCATGGGCAATGTGTTTTGGATTGTAACATACTCATGATTCCCACCTTTTACATGAAAATCTTTGGGTGGTCTCATTCGCAGTGGTTACAACTTCACCACCTTCAAGTAAAATGGTTTCATCAATACACTTCTGAAAGTGTTTCACATTTCCTTTTGAGGTTGGGGAAAGGCAAAAGGGGGCGGGAAATGCTAACGAAGCGTGGTCAAAGTGCAAGTGGGGAGAGACTTTCCCTCTTGATGAGAGATGCAAAGTAATGAAGTTGACACGAGTGTCTACCCCATTAAGCTGAGCCTGCATGGACCATTACAGGCAGGGTGAGAGGACAGCCCAGAGCCAAAGGACCCCTCACAATACACATACATACACACACACAGGAAAAAGGAAACTGTTTACAACACATGCAAGAAATGAAATGTGGAGTATGTCCATACTTCTCCCTACGAGTTTGCCTGTACTTGCACACAATCTAAGAAATATCTGTGCATGAATTTCTACAGAGAATGAAAAAACATCACATTCTCATGTAATCCCAGAAATCTACAGCTTGCCTGAGTACAGCAGCAGAAATGTTCGTGTGTGCCATGCGACACGATGGTTGCAGCTTCCATTCTCCTGCTCGGCCTGTCAGGGAAACATAATTTGCGCCTTCAGTGCTTTTCACCTGGCTCATATGCAGCATGCAAATTTATTTCTCTAATAATCCGAGTCCGCAACGGCCCTCCTCCAGGATTAATGACAACATTCCCAGGGCCCCGCCTCCACCCCGGACAGCTGGAATATTACCTCCATGCACCCACCCTCCCATCCACTTTCTCTCTCTCATACACACACATACAAACACACTTTGACATGGAAAAATTGTGTTAGTTCTACGCAGAAAAACGGTAGGGCATTTGTCCTGCTAGACAATATAATGGGCTGGTGCATCATCAGATTGCAATGTCATTTCGAAAAACCTTGAATACAAATAATGGGGAGAAGGTGGGGGGGAGCAGGAAAGGAAAGGGACGAGTGAGGATAGATGGTGCGTTTTCTAATCCAGTGGGCTAGTTATCCTTCATTTCAGGTAGAGTGCTGTCGCGGTGACACACACATATGCACAGTAGAGAAACACGACGCTCCGTTATTCAAATGAAGTGTGGCGCATTGTGCAGAGCTTGCTGCTTTCCCCCAGACACATCCCTTTTCTTCCCTTCTTCCGCCATTAATTAATCTTGGAGATCTTTTTTAGCATCCCTCCCTCTCTCGCAAACACTCCCAAGCCCTGGCTCTCTGGCTTTTTCTAAGCAAACAGCATGAAATATGGATATGGGAGAAGTATTAATTATAACCCCACGAGTGGGTGTAGAACTGCGTGCATGTGTTGGGAAGAGGGAAAAAAAGAGTGAGGTGAGAGAGAGGAGGAAACAATGTGCCAGCACCACCACCCACTGCCTGGATATGTCACAAGAGGCTGGGAATGGAGAGATAAGAAGCAGAGAGAAGAGGGGAAGATGTACGGAGACAGTGTGAAAGAGAAGGGTGAAGAGGTGTGTGTGTGTGTGTGTGTGTCTGTGTGTGTGTGTGTGTGTGTGTGTGTGTGTGTGTG